TTTTATGCGATTTGCATGTTTTTTCTTTTGTTAATCATGCTCCCCTGTTGTTGTCCATGTTCGTATGTTATTAAATTTTTCCATTATTTACGTGCTTTCCTGAACAGCTCTTGTTTCATCATCGTGTTTCTTCTCGCCAGTTATGTAACTGGCAGCCTCTCAGTTCTCTGTTTTTGCCTCTGTTATTCACGTAGTTGTCCAGTTCTTCATGTATCAATTTCTATTGGCTGATCTGTGTTATTAGTTTGCGGTTTCCCTGCTGCGTAAAAGTAAAATTATTGGGCAGGCAGGAAATCTTATAGGTCTTGTTGACACCGGCGGATATCGAGTACCAATGAGTGGTATTTTTTTTTTTTGCGAAAAAGTAAACAACCACTTAGACGGTATCCGAACAGATAATGCGTATTGCCTTAGTCAGCAACTAGGATTGCCCAGTTATGTACCGAGGTGCTTGTCACAGCGCGTTTTGTTTCGAAGATGCATCCCCGTAGCACCATTTATAACGAATTCTCACAGCGATTATTCGGTCTGTTCTTACTAATATTTGTAGCTCAGAGCACTGTATATGACTTTTTCATTAATTTTTTGTTCTTCATTGCTCGTGTCTTTCCCATGATTTTTGATCCGTTTTGATGAAAAAACCTTTCACGTACAGATGGTTATTTGAAGAAAGCGGGTCCCATGTACACCGTTGTCTTAGCTTGCATATTGTTTGCTTTATTGATACTAGCATCCTGGTGAATATAAAATGATTTTTTATGCAAGAATCACTTGTGCATGAATGTCACAATGGTCATTAGCCTAGTTGTTTTTCCAAATTACAAGTCATTTTTTCGTGAATTTTGTGCCGAATTCTTTTCGATATGTGTAGTCGTTTCGGGATTTATTAAAAAACCTTGGAATTATTCTTCCGCACTCACATTGTTAAGAGAATTCCGGTTTTTTCCGGATGGTTCCTGAAACATCAACATCACATGTTAGTTACAGCAGATCTTTGGCACTCTTGGCTTTCCCGTCCTGGACACCACTGATGGGTCCCATTAATTCTTGTCAGTTTTTTACCAGCTATGGCTTTTTTTCATTATCCAGTTATGATTCGCGTCCATCTTAGCGCTAGCTGAGTAGTGCATCAACAGCACAAGAGGCCAGCTGATCCTGGGATACTAGGGTCGAATTTCACCGCTATGGTTGTGTGTAAGTGTTGTTTACCGGAAAGGTGATACTACACGGGTGCATAACAACCCAAACAAGGAACCAAACAATTCTAAAATATAATGTGAGGCTACCCACCTAAGAAATTTCGTGCTTTCCGGGTTTTGTAGTAAACTTTTCAACATTACCGAATAGTAAATACACATATTTGTAAAGATACGCTTGTAAAAAATCTGTGCTAAGAAATCGCGCGGTTTACTACATAAAAATTCGTTGGCGATGCACACCAGTGGGATCTGTGTGGTCTTGCGTTTTTGCAGTATTTCGTGCTCTACTAAGATCGCTTGAAGTCCTAATAGCTAGAATTTATGACATCCTGACTCACGAAGTTCAGGAAGTTGGTTGTGCAACTTCGTGGTACCTGAATAGGGAAAATTCCGTCAAAATTTCAGTTTTCCAGCTTTCCTAGTTCCTGAGTTAGCAATTTTACCGCCGGAAATTTTCACAGGGCCATGCGGCCACACTTACTTGGGGACTGAATTTGAAATCATTAGGTTGTACGTGGGCTGGGAAAATCCCAGCCTTCCAGCTATCTTGGTCTCCAAATTAGCGATTTTCCCGCCAAAACTTTCACATGTTCATACTTGGAGCTTAGACGTGTGTGAAGGTTGACACCACAGTCATGGCGGAGGTATTTGGCCGCGGAACCTACTGGCGAAATTTTAGCGCTGGAGCTTGCTAGGTTGCCGAGTTGAAATACCCCGACAGACATATACGGCACGCAGACAAATAAACACACACACACACACACACACACGCATACCTGGGTCGTCGCACTATGCGTTTTTGCATTTGCATATATGCAAAAACGCAAAATTAGACATTTTGCAATGGGCTGTAGTACATTCAGTGTTATTTTCAGTTCGCGAAAATATAGTCACTTAGATGAATTAGGAAATCAACGCAGTTTGTCCCTTCTGACAGTTTATTAAACAAATACTTTGTTCGGAAACTGAACGATTGCGTGAGTGATTTACAAAGTACAGTATAATCAAAAGTTTATAGTATAGTTCCATTAAAAATCCGTGCTATAGTATAGAATAATCAAAAATTCGGTTCACAGTGTAGTTCAGTCAAGAGTTCACTCATTTCAGACAGATCTTTTACTAATTACACTTTCTTTGGGGGGAATTCATGCGATTGCTCATCCGACACTGCTTGAAACTGCTTCCGAATAGGATACAGTGAAAAAGCGCTGGAAGGAGATGGTGTCTTCTGCAGAAGTCGTACGAACACTGTCTGCATTGTTCGGGTCATAGCGACAAACTCAGTATTCCTCAGCATTGAGGTATAAAATTTTCTAGATTTTTTCCAGATATTCTAGAATTTTTTCCTGAAACCTTCTAGATTTTCTTTTCAAAATTTTATAAATTTTCCAGATATTTCTAGATTTTTTGCACTAAAACTATTCCGTAATTATGCAGTTTATTTTCCTTGACCGGTTTTTGCAAAAAAATCGGAGATTACGACTTTTTGCGACAAACATAGAAGGCGGTTTAATTCGTCCATTTCGTTTTCCTGTTGTAGTTAATGTCCTATGTTCTGGTTAGATTTAGCATGGAGATTTAAGGAGCTGGCATCAGTGCTTTTTCTCGACTGCACCGCTACTTAGGTCGGAAAACGTCAGGTCTTATCATGCCATCTACATAATTAGTAGTGCTGCTTAATTAGCAGATAATTTTATCATTAATTATTTGGTCATACAGGAACAAGCGCCGATTTGAAAAGCAAATTGGATATTGCTTGAATACTTGCTATCACAATTTGTGACGGGCTTCAATGGGTATGGGACATCGAGCATTGTTTGTTTGGGTACT